ATATTTTAGAACAGGGACCCCATAATCTCCGAGACGGCCCACGGCCCTGGAATACATGGTGATTATAAGCTAACAAACTAATGACACAACCCACTACACCTAGCACAAACTTCCATATATGTGATAGTGAGGGATAGCTCAAGTGGTTAGAGCTTCCCTCCTAATCCTAGAAGGTCCTGGGATCGATTCTCACCCCGCCCTTGTGGCTCCCTAAAAAAAAAAACTTCCATATATGTATAAACTATGAACTACATACATATAGATAATCTAGAGTTGCAAACATAAATACAACTTTTGGATGTAACTTAATATTTTCGCATACTAATCAATCCTCTACTTTCTTGTAACGACTTAAATTTTTAGTAAAGGTCACAAGTGACATATTTTGTTTGTTTGTAATTAGATGTTTTGATATGATTTCATTAGAATCGCGTCCGGTTTGATTTAATATGATCTTAATTTTATTAGATGAGTTTTAAAAAACATTTTTGTCTTACACTGAATTATCCAAGAAGGTATCAAATGTCAATCAAAACCTGATTAATTATTACATTACATTCGAATATCATAGACAAAAAAGGGGTTTCTAAGTTATGCCCCCAAACTTCTTCGATTTCTAAGTTGTGCTCATGCTTTTTCAAACGTCTAAGTTGTGCCCTCAACTTCACTAATTTTTATTAACAATAACCTTTAACGTTAACAATAACTTTATTATTATTATTATTATTATTATTATTATTATTATTATTATTATTATTATTATTATTATTATTATTATTATTATTATTATTTTATTTTCTGATTTTTATTTTTTTGGTGTTAAACCAATTAGAATGGGACACATGTCAAATTAATAACGCCACGATACCATTGTTGATAAAATAACTTAACTTTCGCTATCAGATATGGATGTTAAATGATATTATTGATAAAATATCATGAGGTGAAAGGTACATCTTATAACTTTGAAAAAACATGGGTACAACTTAGAAACCGAAAAATTTGGGGGTATAGCTTAGAAAAATCCCAAAAAAAAAAGAAAAAAAAAAGGAAAAAAGAAAAAAAAGAAGAAAAAGGCATAAAAAATGGGAGGAGGATATGAGTTGAAGACCCCTTTTACCAATTGAAAAATTAATCAACATATTCGTTTTGGATGGTTCACTTGTAAAAACGCTACATTAAGAGGATCCCCTAAATGTGCATGTATTCCATTGGACCCACACATTGCATAAATATCTCCTAAAGTTAAAAAAAAATACAGCAATTGTTCAACTCTTCTTCATCTATAAATAGCAAGCAATATTACATCAAATAAATTCACAACAAACTCATATCTACAAATATCTTATTAAGCTCAAAACCTCTTAAGAGTTTTCTTCATATTCATCAACTTATCAACATGTCTGGCAAATGTGGAAACTGCAACTGTGCTGACAGCACCCAGTGTGTGTAAGTGCATTTTATTTAGCTAATTATTCATGCTTAATTATGCATAATCAAACTTTGTACATATCAAATTAGTACATGTTAATAATTCGTTACAAATTGATATGTTACAAATTGAGATAATCTAAGGGGTTAAAGTGTTAAACGAATGGCAGCTACAAAATTCCGTGTGATATCATTCAGTACATTACTCGACTTGAAAAGTTAAGGTCTTGAACATGATTTTTGTTCTGTATTATAAAATGACGTGAAGAAATAACTCTCAACAAAGAAGACAATAATAATTTAGTAAAAAATTGAACCTAAATTTATTTGTCTTGAAATGAGCAATTTGTTTTATCTTGGTTGTTAATATTATTGACCAATTTTGTACTCTTGCAGGAACAAGGGAAACCAGTATGGAATTGACACCGTAGCTCAAGAAGTCATGTAAGTTCCAAAATTGTCACGTTTATTTCTTCTTATTGGGATCACGGTATATAAAGTCTAAACATAACAAAATATTTACTACTCCTATTATCTCTAAAAGTTTTAACTAGTTGAACTATTAGAGACGGTGGGAGTAGTAATAACGCTAATTAACATCTAATCTGTTATATTATAAAGCAAATAGATCATTAATGGTGTTTAACTTGCTTCTTCTTTGCCTTCGATCATGCAGCTTCTACGATGGTATGGTGATGGAAGGCGGTAACTGCGACAGCTGCAAGTGCGGCGCTAGCTGCGCCTGCACCAGCTGCTCATGCTGCTCTCACTAAGCAAAGCAACCTCATTAGATGGAAGGCCTTATCATATTATCTAATGTTGTTTAATATGAGCTTCTAATCTACTTAATTATGTACCTTATACATTATGTATAAGAAGACTTATTTATTATTGGAATAATTTGTTACTTTGTATGCTTTGTAATATGGCCCTGTGCCTAATTATATTTGCTATCAATATTATTGCATCGAATTTATTATTAGCTATTGATCAGTCTCATTTTGTTCATATTTTATGATTATGTTGTCTGTAACCAAAAGAAACCCCAATTAAATTAAAACTAGACGATCCCAAGATCTCTTGAAAATGAAAGGCAAGCTCTAACCACTTAAGCTATCCCTCAATCTTGTACATAATACCTTACCGACGTGTTTAATCTTGTACAATAGCGATGAAAGTATTGTATATAAATCAGCCAACTTTACAAGTTACCATAATCGACCTTATAAACAGTTACAACTAAAGTGAATGGGGAATATTTTGGATTTAATAGATGCAATGCAAGTAATTTGCATGATTGATTGAAGAGGAAAGTTTGTCGTTAGAAAAAAATTGGGAGAAAGTGAAAACTAGATGCAAGAGGAGCAAAGAGTTCAAGCTACTTAGCAGCAAATAGTTAACGTAAGTGCCTCGTTTTCAAGGCAAAAAAAAAGTTAAATATTTTTTAATGCGTAAAACTAGACGCTTAGTTTTTTTTTTTTGTCAATTCTGAGCTCAATTCGGTCCATAAGAACTAAAATAACCCCTAAAACCTTGACGGGACATTTTTCAGCATGCAAATCGGTGAAAAAATTAAATTGGGTGACAATTTATAATTATTAGTACATTTGGGTTATAATTTGCATATTTTTTTTTAAAATGACTGTAATTTATAAAATACAAACTTTACATGTTATATAGAGTATATTTTAATTAGTTTAGGAATGCGAGGCCTTAAAAAAATAAAAAAAAAATTATAAAAAAATAATTAAAAAAAAAAACTTAGTTGACTTTTGCACTAATTTTAATTCATTAAACAGTCAAAAAATGAAGTTTGGTATAAAGGTTTATAACATTCTAGTTACAAAGTTAGCTTTCATTACTTCATAGCCAAAATGAAAAAGTTTCAGTGAATTTTTTCTTATGACCGCCCTTCTGAGATTAATCTGTATGTATTGTCAGACTCTTTGTCTATTAATTGATATTATTACTCTGTTTGCTTTGTTAAAAAAAAAATAAATAAAAACGAACAGATTAAACGAAACTATACTAAACTAAACTATACGGTCAACTAGTCAAATTAAACAGATTAAACGAACCACCCAATGAACCGACAATCAAACAAATGCATTACGCAACGAGGAAGTACAAGACATCAACATCTAGACTCACTTTGATAACAAGTTGGCCGAGCCACAATTGCTAAAGCTTAGATTCTTATGAAGAAGCATACATCCAAATGGCTTTAATATGACATAGACTTGATAGGAAGAATATTATAGATTGAGCACTTTATAAAATAGATGTGACAATAATCCCTAATTTGTGTACTACTTTGTTTTTTATTTGTTTTTGCATGGATAAAAAAGGTTGCACCATGATAATAACTAATAAGACCATAAAAGTGTAGACTAGACTAAACTTTCCACATCAAAGATTCTCGGTCATGGTTCATGGCTACAAGCAATTGTAATGCTAGTCATCCAAAATTAATTAAAGGGGCTTTTTGTTATCTCCTTTCAATCTTAAATTTCATCCTTTCATTAGTTAAAAAAAGCAAATTATTCTGATTCTATTGTCCATTTCTAATTTTCCTTTTACAGCAATTTGATCTCTCATAGATGCAATGGGCGCACGGCTTTTTCAAAGAGTATTTGTTGATTAAGGTTATGTACAAGTTTTTTTAGTTTTTATGAGGTGTTAGCTCTCAAACATACATAAGTACGGGTAAGGATGAATTGGTGTTTAGCCAATGGCTCATGACATGACGCGTAAATGCTCTCATCTCTGTCTCTATGCCCTAGTTCCCTCTTTGGTTAAGTCTTATCGGCTTTGATCAATTCTTATATGATCCTTGGTTTTTAAAAAAAATGCAATGGAGGGTAATTGGCGATTACATACATAATCAAGAGTTGTTCCCAATTTTAAGTTGGAACTTTGGAAGGACAAAATTATTTGCCTTCTCTCAATAAAACAGAAATACCACTATCGATTCTTAAAGCTGCTTCAATAGCAACAAAATAGACGATTCAATTTCGGGTGATAGATATAATTATCAACTACATTTAAAAATGCAAACCCCATTTGTAAGGAAGAAATCATGCATTTCAAATTAGAATATTTAGCCAAATGATTTTTTTTCTTCAATAGACAATTATAGGTGGATTTCAAGAAAAATTGAAAACAGAGCAGTAATTTTGGTAAATTAAGGCTTAGGCAAATCGTGCATACACCCCCAAAATAACAAATTAACATTATTAAGGTTCGTAATTATTAGAGATTGATTTATTATTACTCGACAAGGTTTAGTTCGTCTCAAGCTCCAAGTGTAAGCTTTAGAACTCACAAAAGAGATGATAAGAAAACGATTGATCGATCCCATAAAAGAAAAGATAACATAAGACTCGAGAGAAGAATAGAATGCCAATGCCAAAATCCCCCACATTGGGAGGGCACCACCATCTTCTTAAATCCATCAATTCATCAGATTCCCTTTGAATGGTGCCTCTCTTGCGTGTCGTGTTGATCCTCTTAGAGCAACCCCTTGTATCGAACCTAAACCTTAGCTAGCTCTTCCTCTATAAATACCGACCTACATTGCACAAACTCAGGTTTAAGCAACTCACAGACATACGCCGCTGAATCCCAAAACTTGTAGTCTTTCACTCTCAATCAACAATGGCAGACAAGTGCGGAAACTGTGACTGTGCTGACAGGAGCCAGTGTGTGTAAGTTTTGTTTTATGGAGTTCATAGACTTTAGTTCTGTTTTACTAAGTTCCTATCAGATTAAGATTGACAACTCTTTCACTGTCCTTGCAGGAAGAAGGGAAGCCAATATGGTTTTGTGGTCACCGAGACTGAGTAAGTTCAATGGCTTAATTCGGTTTTTTCCCATGTACAACGAACCCCCCATCGATTAACAAACAATATGGTCATCACATTGCAGGTACTCGGAGTTCATGATGACAGAGGGTCCCGAGCATGGTTGCAAGTGCGGCAGCAACTGCCGATGCATTGACTGCAAGTGCGGTCCTCACTGAGCACCTATTACTTACCTATAGTAGCTCATATGATCTTAGGATATATATAAGCTATCTATAGATGATATAGTACTTCAATAAGAGACATATTTCTGCACAGAGATATGTTTAACTTTGCTTTCGACACCTGAGGATCACGTTTGTGCTCTGTACTCATATGAGCTTCTAATATCATTATAGTATAATTTGCTGTTTATAATTATTCTCTAATACACAACTATTTTCAGCTTTTTTTCCCTCTCTTATTCAACTAAACACAGAAGGATATTATACGCGCTTAACATGATGCCAAACAATCAATCTCCTTTTAGTCACCATGAACAAACTCTGTGTCACAACTGTAGATGACTAGATGAGTATATCAAAACCTAAAATTATAGAGAGTTAAGATCTACTCAATGTTACATGACATAATTTATCTGCAGCTTAGCATTAAAAGACTGGAAATTTTGAAATGCTCCCAAGGCCCCAAAAGAATTGGGAGAGATGGTCACATAATGAATTTAACGATGGATCTACGACAGTTGTAAATGGTCATGTAGTCTTTTCTTTCTTCTTTGCTCTGTATTTTGTCAGTAACATCTTCCTGAATATGGTAAGAAGCCACCCACAAATATCAAGAAGAAAAATTACAGGAGCAAGAAAAAAAAAAGAAAAAAAGATCAAAATCCAGGGGAAAGAACTGCCAAGGACTCATATTACTCACACCCGGTACTCAAATCTGATATGAACACGCATCTAAGTGTCTGACTTGGCTACCACAATTCTTGCCCAAAATGAACTGGCCCATTACTAGGGGTAAATCGAGAAAGATAGATAAAATAAGAAAACAAAACCCTCATCATTGCACATTGTACAATTTAAATTAGGAAACTCAACCAAAGATTATTTGATTATGTTTAGTTCATTGGCAAGCTACCATGCAAAACTCAAGTATTACTTTCCTTCCATGCCTTGTTAAACTGATGCAGCAAACACAACCTTTCCAACTCATATCATACATCTTATGGCTAATAGTATGTTTTATAAACCATCTAATCTATTTCACAAAGCTCCATCTACTAGCAAAGTAGTGATGCTCTTCAAAAATAACCAAGAATTTTCACCTAACAATATAATCTGAGTTGCATTTGAAGAAAAGATGATTTACAATATCAAGCAGCACATATATGGTGGTCCAACAAATGAAATCTTATCCGGGTCTGGTAGAAAGATCCCAAATCACTTCTTTGTCCTAAGTCCTAACCCAACTAAAGTGTTCATGGAAGAATTCACAAGCTTTCAGATCATTGTATTTTTCCTTGACATAACCAAGACTGCAACAAAGCTTTTCCTTAATTTTGTTTATGGCGTAAGCTTCTCATCAGGGAAGACCATAAAAAGGGAGAGTTTACATAACAGCCAATGTGGCTATGTGTTTACCTCCCATTCTGCATACTACTTCTGTATAAGCTTTTATTCTCGATAATCTGACTTCACTCATCTTAGACAGCTAAGCTACTTAAGATGCTAAAAAATATTATCTAACAGCAATACACCCTAGCTAGTAGCTATAGTTAAGAAAATCCAAAGCAATAATTATTCACTACCCTAGCTAGAAGCTAAGGTTAAGAAAATCCAAAGCAATGATTATCCACTAAAAAGAAATGAGACCATAATTACTAAATAACTACTTCGAGACCTCATGGCAATTGCCAAATGTCAAACAGAAGATTTAGACCATATAGTTTAAATCATGGATCATAATAAGGAAGAGCAACATGTAATGTAGCATACCACATCTTGAAATGTCTATACCATCAACTTCTGAAAATCCATAACAAAGATGGCAAGAGTCTACCGGTCTGGCATCTTGCTTCCAGACCAACATGTTCATCTAAAACTGTCAGATACCTAATATTCACATAATTGTGATCTCAGGAAATGAATCAACCAAAAAAGAACTATCAATCATGCAAAATCTCACAAGCCAAAATTACACTCATATTGATGCCAATTGCCAAATGATTAAATGCCTAAAACTTCCTCTGTGTCCACTGAAGAATAGTTGTTTGCAACTTAATATGGATGCTTGGTCTCTCATATTTAAGGTGCCACCAACTCAACAAGTATGATTGGGCGAGAAGGCCCAATTGATGTGACCACATTTTCAACGGAGCTGTTGTTCAGATCCTAACTTCTATGGTTATATAAGATAGTTCCTCATCAAGCAACCAACTTCTGGACACCAACAAAACACCAATTTAAGTCTCTAACCATAACTAGTTCTCAGATCTATTGATTGTTCTCTCTAATAGCTCATGTCATCATCAATTTGCTCATTGAATTGAGTCACTAATAAACTGTTATAAACTCTATTCTTGAGAGGTCTTGGCTCTTGAAAAAAGAGCTTTTTCTCATAAGCTAGCAAACCCCCAAATTCCTTACAGTGAACCATAATAACACATCTACAGTTCTACTTGGCACATTATACAACATCATACAAACAGCAAATACATTTGACAACAGTATCCTGTGACCGTAAGAAGCGCCCTTTCTATAAGGACTGGTAAGCGATAACCAATTAATCCCTTTGGAAGCTCGGCTGAACGCAGACAAAACACACTTGTCTGCAATCCTAGTTGGATAAATCATGGACAATGAAATCATAAGATATATTACGATAGCACAATAACTGCAAAAGATGGGCTTGGCTTCATATCAAAGTCAGCAATCATCAGATAGAAGAGTCAGACCATCCAGTTAAATTTATCAACAAGAATGCAAATTGTAGCATACAATATCATGACATGTCTATATGATCAATTTCAATGATTCTATCACAAAAATACGATATCTAACTGCAAGACAACATACTCATCTCAGATAGTTTTGATACCTTTTATTCACATAAGTGTGATCAACAAGTGTATATAACCCGAAAAAGAACTACCTATTTGGCAAAATTTCAAGAACTCAAAACATCCAATTCCAATTCTTCATCAAACATTAAATCCCTCAGCACGAAGGCATTGCTTATGCGCCTCGATCCACTTAGTACACGCATCTTCACCATTCTGTACTATACATTCATCTCTCAGCTTCTTAGTTTCAGGGCAAGCACAACATATCTTCTTTTTCGGCTTTTGATCCTGCTCGGAAGCTTTCGAAACCGTTTCCGGGTTCTTTTGTTCTACTGGCACACCATTACTAGAGGATGCAACTCCTCCCATGATCAAAACCCTGAACAGAAAAACACATACAAAACATTCAATCCACATTTCTCACAAATTTGTATAATAATTCAGTCATTCCCCCCAAAAATTCTGAAAATTCCCAACTGCAATCAGAAATAAACAAGAAATGGGTACAATTTAAATTCCTCTAATAATCTAAAAATCAAAATAGCAAAACTTAAACTACTTCAATCTAATGTAACACTAGCAACACAACAATAAAGTAAAAAACTAACATAAGGGTTGAACATATAACTTTGATTCAGTAACATAAATCATAAATATGACCATATTCATAAAATAAATTGGATTTATGTTTGAAAAACACCCTTTTTCTTCTTATTCAAGAAACACCCAATTGTTGCAGCAATTAAATTAGATAAATTAACTGCTTTTTATTGTTCAAATATCAAAATCTAAATAAAACAGTGGATTAAGAATTGAAAAAGATGATACCTTAGAATTCAGCAAAAGAATGAGGATGAAGCTGAATAGCAGAATAGTGGAGGAACGCAAAGAAAAGGTTGAATTGTTGAGAGGAGAAAGAAAATACAGAAACGACGTGTTTTATTTTCGGGCGTTTGTACAAATTGTACTGGTGTACTCCGTAATACCGTATGTACTACTCCGTACTGTTTTGTGGGTAATTACGTAATAAGGTTTGACACAATAATTCAAAATGTACTTACAGCCTTAAAGCCCAATATTGATCAATTCATGATATTATCTAGTCCAGCCCATATAGACACACGGTTAGGAGTGTCAATTCGGGTAAACAATTCAATTTCGGGTTATAACGGGTTGAAATGATTAGCGGCCTAGCGGGTCAATTTGGGTCGGTTTTGAAAATTATTGGGTCAATTTGATTTGGTTTTTTAAATGGCGGTTTATATTCGGGTCGAGTCCTAATCAAATCATGTTGTATTCAGTTCGGGTCATAATTAGTTGGATTAAACCAGCTCAGTTAGAAAAAATGTTAAGCCAGTTTAAAGCGGGTTATGGTTCAAAACAATTCGGGTTGTAATCGGATCATAATCAGTTTGGGTTAAACTGGTTCGATTTGAAAACGGGTTTCAGGTGAAATCGGATCGAGTCATTATTCGTTAAGGTCATAATCTATTTGGATTGAATTGGGTCTCTTTGGAAACAATTTTAACCAATATGAAACGTGTTTCAGTTCAAATCATATCAGGTTAAAATCGAGTCGGATCATTATCGAGTCTAGTTAATCAGATAATGGGTAGGAACAGGTTAGGTTATAACCGAGTTAAGTCAATACGTTGGGGTTTATCGAATATATAGTGGGTTGAAACGGATTAGATCATAAACATATTACATTACGAGTTGCAAACGACTCAGTCATAATGGATTACAATTTGTAAACAGTTCGATCTCAACAGGTTATGGGTTGTAAATGGTTTGGTCCTTACGAGTTACAGGTTATAAATGATTCGGTCACAGCGGGTTATGAGTTGAAACAGTTCAAGTTAATTAGATTTTTGTCGCGTTTAAATGATTATCAGTTTAATATGGATTGGGTTACTATTAGGTTCGAGCATAATCGGTTCAGGTTGCTTTCAATTTTCGGTTGTTATGATTTGACTTGATAACGGGTCGGGTCATTAACGATGGCACAAATTCGATTCAATTCGATTTCAGGTTGGAAAAAAATGGATTTTTAATGATTCGGTTCCTATCGGATGAGTTCAAAATAGTTGGATTTAACAGTTCGGGTCAAAACTGGTGCATCAACTCATTAACTACCCAATACCCAGGACAAGTACGATTTTTGATATTCATATGAATCATATCCATTTATTAGAGTCTTAAGGAAAGATCGTCTACATTTAGAGTGATAAGTTCAAAGAGACTAGAATTTAGTGCTGACATTAGTGGTTTTAGATTGAACCAAAGACCAATCCTACATGGATGGTACTTTAAGAATTTATTTTAAACCAGTGCATGATAGAATTTTTATTTATTTTATTTATTATTTTTTTTCCAATAATATTGAGGAAGATTGCTCTGCTATTCTGCTATTGGCTTTTTATCCTTAATTCATGCATATTGAACACACTTATATTGTGTGCACTCAATATGGTTCAGTGGTTCACTGACTTCACTCTACTCTTATTTATACGGTAAAGTATTAGTGTTGAAAATTAAAATTATCTTTCTGCTTGCTATAAGCCTAGCTCTCGGTTTTAATACAATTCAATCACAGAGGAACCAAAACACACGGTTACAAAAGAATTCCAAACTTCTACTTGTATAAAACATCCATGAGATAAAGAAATTTTGTCAACAACTACCAATTAAAGCACGTGTTTTGAAAACAAATACCTATTAAAAAGTTTTTTTAAAAGAACTACCACAAAGTTGGAAAAAATTTAAGTAGCACTACCACTCTAACAATTTTGGATAGAATTTTTGGCATTTGGGTATCACTAAATATCACTTTTTACCTTTATGGAGGGTAATTTAGTCAATTTAAATAGTGTCCATTTTATATGTGTAGAATGAAAATTTTATAACTAGCATCTCATCTTAAAAGTGTATATACTCATTGCCTCATCCCCAAACCTCGTATAAATATCATAATTATTACTTTGTTCATCATATTTTAATATTGGCTATATACATAGCTAATCCTAGTTCTTACTTTTTTTGAGAACGTGACTCGGGATCAAGATGTAACCTTGAAGTCCTGGATGTATTAACAACCATTAATTAAACTCTCTTATTTTTTACTTGAGATTTTGCCATTAACCTTGAGATTTATATTGAAGGAATTGTTGTTTGTTAATATATAGTATGCTTAAGTGAGTAGGTTGTTCATCATGACTTTTTATTTTATTTTATTTATTTTTACTCCGTATTTTATTTTGTTTATATATATGTGGATGTTGTTGTACAATTTGTCAAATGAATTATTATAAATATATAATTGTTATAATGTGCTTAATCATGCAACTTTTCCCCCCTTTGATAAGGATAATAATGCACTTTGGTATACCTAAATCGATCAATTTTTTAAAATATTTTTTTTATGTATACTGTTTTAGACAATGGATTTGATAATTGAAATACAAATACTACTAACATTCAACATTTTAATGTATAGCTTGGAGGATCTATATTCTATAGTTTATACCATCCTTCACAAAGTCAATTAAGCACATGTGAAACACAAAACAACATTAAACGGTTTAGTAAAGATATGCAAGCAAAATATTCCCTTTGTTTACTGCAACTTACTATGCATTTGATTTAATTATTCACTACTTGTGACAAAATTAGGTATTTTTTTTATATTTGGATTCAAGGTATCAAGGATAAGCACAACGAATAACTAATTGACTAATTGTAAAATTTACTTACATATGTATTACAAAGTACAAATTTACAACCCCTCAAAAAAAAAAAAAAAAAGGTACAAATTTACAATCATATTTAAAGATACCGTATTGACTAATTTTAACTACTATACAATACACAATGTATATAGTATATACCAAATAGTATTTGGTTAGTGTTGGGCTCTTTAATTCCCCTTCCATCCTACATCCAAGAGTATTGTTTGCTAAATCGACTTGGTTGGATTGTATAGGTTGCTTGAGGACCTTATTTTTTCCTATTAATTTTTTAATTTATAAAAGACGGAGTTCAAATAATATACTACTTCGTATTATACTAGTAATAATGTAATCAAAACCTAATTTTAATTGTTCCGCTCAAACTAGGTTAAATTTGTCCATGTTTAATTATGTGCACAATATGATTATATAATATCAAAATGACAAAATCCCATAATTTCTCAACCTATATAATATTTAGCCTTGACAGAATTTTATCCAACCCAACACTCAATAATTATGGTTGTTATCCTATCGCATAATCAGTAGAAGAGGGTATTCCACATTCGCTGTGTCACCCATGAAATGGCCAGTGGCCTGAAGCCCCAAAACTAGTAGTGTAAGATAAAAATGGCATGTGCGACTTGTGGACATGTCTAACGTACTTACAAACCAAATTGCAGGGTGCAAACCTTGATTTGAACACCATAAGACAATCTGAAGCATGAAGATAAGTAAACTACCTGGACAAAGCACTGAACAAATCCGATTTTCCAAAGGAGTACTAGCACCACAAATTGCCAAACTGGTGATTTATCTCACCCACATTAGGATGTATCAAATTGTAACATCGAAGATTGTTGAGCTCTAATAGTAGTCATTCAAAGACACATACTTCAGCATCAGAAAAACTTCACTTTAACAAGTAAAGACTATTTTCGCAGTAGATGGAGATTATAATTTTTGTATACTGCCTATAACGAGCTCATTCTGCTCGCTAAAAGAGCAAGATTTCACCTGTTAGTTTTGATATGGTCATAGGTCTTCCAATATCAACAGAGGAATCAAATTATACTGGTAATAAGACATCGAAAGATTCTATAATAACAACCTTTAAGTGCAGAAGCAGAACTAACAGAAGAGTGCAGATGGTCATGCGTGTAAGATCATATCATATATCAACCAAACAATACTTACAATGACAAGTGACATTAATTTACGAAATTTACATTGTGTGCTGTACAGATTGGATAGATTTTGAAGATAACAAGCTAGCAGTTATAGACAAGCTTTATCATTTTTTTTTACAGGGAAGAGGACACTCAATAACACACAGGCCAATTTTATTCAGGATGTGGTACCAGGGTAGCACATGAAACTGGCATATGAGCTCTGCTTTTACAATAATTTGACCCTAATTCATAACTGAATCAGCAGCACAGAAAGCATTAAAAACCTTTGAAGAATTCGTTTGTCGAAGTTGATCTTCAAATCAAATTCTTTGGATCACTAAAGAGTACACGAATGCAACCAAAGAATGTGAAATAGTTGTAGTGATCAGCAATTTCCATTGTAAAAGCTTTAAAAAATACTTTGCACAACCCCCATTAGGCCAGTACCATTACACTCAATCATACTTCTCTCGCCACGAATAGAGGAGAAAGAAAACCCATGAAAGTGCTAATGCAACATCACCAACAACCTGCCTAGGCAAATCATGGGCAAGATGCTCGACATTCGTCTCAAAGTATACCCTCCAAACAGCCATCAAAAGGTGTAGGATCACACATCCCTTGGCAAAAAAGCTCTGAAACTTATTGTCCTTAACAAATGCAACCATAAACAGAAGAAATCCAATCACAAACAGAAGCAACCCAGAAAATGATTCAGATGTTTGGATTAATAGCTCATCATGAGGGGTTGATCCTTGAAGTTTACTACCAATTTCTTTACCATGACCAAATACCGCGATTTCTTTAGTATAAAACATCATCATAGCTCCACAAGCAAGAGCAATTACTGAGTGTAGAAGACATATTACAGGAAAACCAGAAGAACCCATTTCCTAAAAACCCTGAAGTTTTGAATTATCCAACTTTCCACCAAATTAATTCAACAACACCAAAACTTAATCTTCAACCTCTAAACAAATTACTCAATCCCTCTTTCTCAAACCCCAAGATTAATCTGCTGAATTCCTAATATATACCCATTTCACTGCAAATTTTCCAATTAACAATCCCAACAAAGATTAATTATTATAATCACAAAACCCTATAAACCCTAAATTCAATTTCACATTTCTACAATTATATGCACAAATAAGAGCAATTCAAAAACAATTGATCAAAACCCAGAAAAATTAAGCACCTAAAGATTACAACTTGATCAAGAAATATGAAATCAACAAGTTTAATCAACCATTAATTCAACGTATAATACTAGAAGAGAGAAGAAGAAAAGACTGAAACCTTTGATCTTGGACCCACAAATAAATTTTCTGCATTTAAGAAAATTGAAGGGAGCATGAAAGAGTTTTTGCACGTTAGAAGTTAAATGGGTTGGAGAAGAAATCAGGAAAGAAATTGGGGATTTAATGAATTTGGATTAGGTATCAAGGTTAATGGTGTTTGTTCTAAACTTCTAATTAAAGAGATTTACTATAATTAAGTATTAATTTAATAATTAATTAATGTTGGGGTGTTATAAGTTATTAAGTTAGGGTCAAAGATAAAGATTTATATGACATAAAACATGATATAACATTAAAATATAGGGATGAGGATGGAAGATTGATTGAGGGGCCATCTCTTTGATTTTGATATTAATTTGATTTGTTGGCACTGGCTATTTGGTTCCCTCTTTTAGAAAACGATTGCCTTTTGGATCTTAGAAGACAGTGCTATTGATTAATTTTATACAAGTAGTAACAATAATTTAATAAATATAAATAATTAAATGTACAATGTACTCGTAGATAGGGGTGTACAAAAACTGGCCCGGACCTGAAACCGGACCTGAACCGACCTGAACCGGACCTGACCCGGACCTGTTGATTCAGGTCCGGTCCCGGTTCTTAAAAATCCAGGTTCCCGGTCCCGGTCCGGACCCGGTCCAAACCCGGGGTTTTCAGGTCCGGACCTGAAACCCGGGAAAATCGTAATTAAAAAAAAAAAAAAAAAAAAAAACCAAACTCTGAAAAATTGAAACTGACGTTAAAACTTCTCTTTCATATTTTTAAGTTCTAACCCTAACTCCCTAAGCCCTAACTGATTCTCTCAGCCTCCCTCAATCACAACTTCTCAACGCGGCTGTCCCAACTCGCTCCGGCCACCGCCCACTGCCGACACCTCCCTCATTCTCTCAGGCGATGCACACCGATAATATCTGGTAAGTATTTGCTTATAATTTTGGTATTTTTAATTCGAAATAATAAATTTAAGTGTGAGAATTTATATGTTTATTCTTGTTTCAAATTTTCAATTGCTTTTAATGATTGTTTGATGTTTGCATGTTGAATTTCTTATTTTTAGTTCATCTCTTTCGAATTTCTGTTTTTTTTTTTTTTTGGTTTTTTTGAGTTTAGGGTTCATAAGAATTAAGAAGTTTGGGGTTTAGGGTTCAAGTGCGAAATTTAGTTCGAAATTTTGTGTTTATTATGATTATTAAGATTAATTTAGTGCGAAAATTTGTGTTTATTCCTAAAGTATAAGTTATTCAAGGTAATATATGTCTCCACTTGAATTTGTCTTGATGATGAGAAATACAAAAAAAAATCAATCATTATCTCAATCAATATTTCTGTATAATACAGAAAACTGCTAAGTATGTACTCTATTGTATATTTGTATGCATTATTAGTCTCTGTGTTTGAATGTTATATGTGGCAATTCAATTTCACATTGTATTATGAATAGTTGAATATATACCATCATACCAACCTGCAAATTGATCCAACATAATGCGGCACAACTTAGTAACTTACTACTTCGTAATAAATTTTGATCGTTGAGAAATTTTTTGGATGAGTAGTGAACTAGTGATTCATTATATTTAATCATTGTTTGGTTTTCTAATGAATAATGAATGGACTTGCTCTTATTAAACTAACTCATACTCCGTATCATATACGCTTATTACCTGGTATTGATATTTCTAATGTGTATATATGGACACTTTTTAAGCTAACTTATACTTTAAAATTTGTGTTTATTCCTGCTAGGCTGCTAAAAGTATGGACTTAGATTATTAAGATTAAATAAGTTGGCTAACCTGTGTGTAGTTCAGGGGTTCTTATTTTTGTTTTTATTCTTGCAGGGAGTGAAGGAAGTCAAGGAACCACGGATTCTTATTCTTACAATGTAAGTTGCTCTTAAATTTTTTTATAAAATGGTATGTGTATATAATTGTTACTTTAAAATTACTTATATTGTATATAATTATATTGTAGATGGAGAGCTCTCAATCAAACGGTCTGCTTCTTTTTCTGAACAAACGTCACAGCCACTTTCTGAAAAGGATATGGAAGAATTGCAATCTACTTTGCCTCCTGATAAGAAGCTAAAAGCGGGGCGGGAATATATATGGAACAGAAAAAGTAAGAGGAAAGCTGAGTATTGGAAATATTACTTAGAGTACGTCGAGAATGGAAAACTACGAGCTGAATGTAAGTTCTGTCCTAAAACTTTTGCTGCTGATGGTAATCTTAATGGTTCAAAAAATGTTAAAAACCATGCAGAATCATGTCTCGGTAATCCTATTAATATAGAAAAAGAAAAGGGCAAAGAAAAGCAAACTAAATTGTATTTTGATCAAGAACATGAGAGTAGTGAATTAAAATGTGGGAGTAGGATTATTAACTTGAATGATGTTAGAGAGGCATTGATTCACATGATTATTGTTGATGAGTTACCATTTAAGCATGTGGAAAAACCCGGTTTTAGGCACTTTGTGCAAGTTGCATGTCCACAATTTCACATTCCATCTCGTGTTACCATTGCTCGTGATTGTTTAAAGTTGTATTATAGTGAAAAAGAGAAATTGAGAGAAATGTTTAAGACATGTCAAAGAATTTCTGTGACCACTGATACTTGGACTTCAATACAAAGAATTAATTATATGTGTCTTACAGCTCATTTCATTGATAATGACTGGAAATTGAATAAAAAGATCATAAATTTTTGTCCAATTTCTAGTCATAAAGGAGAGGCTATTGGAAAAGCAGTTGAGGCATGTTTAGAGTATCGGGGTATTGATGATAAACTTTTTACTGTCACTGTTGATAATGCTTCTTCAAATGATGTTGCTTGTGCACACTTGAGTAGAATGGTTAGAAGAACAGGATGTATAAATGATGGAAAAAATCTTCATGTTAGATGCATTGCTCATATCATTAATTTAATTGTGTGGGATGGTATTAGAGAACATGGTGTGTGCATTGATAGAGTTAGAAATGCTGTGAAATATGTTAAGAATTCCCCTGCAAGAATACTTAGATTCAAAGATCTTGTGCAAAAAGCAAACATAGATTCAAAATCTTCTTTATCCTTTGATGTCCCCACTCGTTGGAACTCCACATACATAATGTTGGAAACGGCTTTGAAGTTTCAACGTGTTTTTAGTGGGTTATCTCTTCCTGATGGAGAGGATTTGAATGACAATGAAAGGCCTCCCGAACCCGAAGATTGGGAAAAAGTGGAGAGGTTGGTTTTGTTTCTAGAGGGGTTTTATCTGTTAACTAAACGAATTTCTGGTTCCCATTATGTGACAGCTAATAAAGGTTTAGGAGAAATTGCTTCTATGTATGATATGTTGAATAATTGGGAACAAAGTGAGGACTTGAATTTTCAAGCTATGGCCATTGCAATGAAAAAAAAGTTTGATAAGTATTGGGGGGATGTGGATAAGATGAATAAGTTCATTTATGTTGCTCTTCTTCTCGACCCTCACTCTAAGATGGTCATTGTTGAATTGACACTAACGGATATGCATGGACCGGAAAAGGGTACAAAACTTGCTAATGATGTGAATGAGTTCGCTTACTCTTTATTTGAGGAATATAGAAAAATGTATGCTACTTCTAATATTCCAGATTGTGGAGATAATATGTCAATGGATATTGATAATAGTAAAGGAGTGGGTTCCGATTATGTGAGGAAACTAAAAGAAAGAGCAAAACGATTGAAGGGGACAAGTGGGTATGCGATAAGTGAGTTGGATAGGTACTTAAATGATCAATTAGGGCCGGAGGAGGAAGAACAAGATGCATTGACATGGTGGGGTAAGAATGGTCAGCGTTATGTGATTCTTAATCGCATGGCACGTGACATGCTAGCCATCCCATTGTCGACCGTTGCATCGGAATATGCTTTTAGTACGGGAGGTCGTACTCTAGATCCATTTCGGAGTTCTTTAACTCCTAAGGTAATGCATCGTTATCTTTTTATTTTATAAAATCAAGTTTGTTTATATCTTAATATGACTTTGTTTATACATATTTGTGTAATATTTTTGTATTGAAGATGGTTCAAGCGTTACTTTGCACACAAGATTGGCTTAGAGCTAAGGAAGTGCCAATTGTTGATGTGGAAGAAAATTTTAAAGAGTTAGAGGAAATAGAGAAAGGTAGTAATAATTTTATGTATTTGAAATTTTGTTACACCAAATTTATTATTTCATTGTTATCAATCATTAATATATTCTATATTGTATTTTATTTAGAGGTGCAACGTGGTGAATCTAACGATGTAGACGATGAAGTTGTTTTCATGGACTCATTAGTGTGAATCACGCGATCAAAGGGAAAACAACTCGTTGGAGAATTTATGTATTTCTAGTACTTGAGAGTTGAGACTTAAGAGAATTTATGTAATTTTATGAGTTTTCGTGGACTTATTTGTATTTTCGGTGGACTCATTTGTATTTTTGGTGTTTGAGAATCGGGACTTTATAGACTTTATGTAGTTTTGTAATTGATAATTTTGGTTTGTATGTAATTATTAAATTATGCAACAGGTCTAAAAATCACAAAACAGGTCCATATGCAGGTCCAACAGGTTTTGTATTAAAAAAAAAAACGAAAAAGACACAAAACAGGTCCATTCAGGTCCAAACCCGGACCGGACCTGATTTTTCAGGTCTGGCCCGGAACCGGACCTGTTAATTCAGGTCCGGTCCCCGGTCCTCATAATTACCCAATTCAGGTCCCCGGTCCAAACAGGTCTGGTCCAGGTCCGGTCCGGTTTTGGACCGGTGTACACCCCTACTCGTAGAAGATTTTTGTATATTTGGTATGTCGGCATTAGATCCATAAATTCGTTATTTCACCCTACATTAAGAATAAATTGCAATGAGACAATAATTGTCTTTTCTTTGGACAAAAGTTGATGGATCTCTATTTTTACTACCAACCATGGATTGATTAACCAATAATTAAATCCACAGTTTTACTACCCTATAAAGATTGAATTAGTTCTATATCATCCTTGATTGTTAATACTTGTTTGGGTCCAATTAAGCCTAATTGGGCCTGGTCCATAAATGATTCAATCCAAGTCAAGGTCAAGGCCCAAGCCTCTTATCATGCCAAGTCAAGCTCCAGTCAATGGCCCAAGTCATTATGGTCAGCCATATGACTCTAAGCCCATTTTTCCTCCTTGTCATGCTAAGGTATAAAAGCCTTCA